GAGGATACTGGGGAGAGAAGGGCTATTTCCAGATACAATGGTCAGGAAGCCAGACCTCTGAGTTTGCTGGATACAGTCCTTGTCAGGCAACATGCCCCTTGCTTTGTCTTCACCTACCTAGACAGTAGTTTATTCCCCAAAGGATGTTACTGTCTCCAGAGAACATATTCCAATTATTCTAGAAAATAAGGTAATTGGGATTATGATAGTATTCATCTTCTCAATTCTCAGAATGGAGACCTATCTAAGCCAAGAACAAAAGGTAACTCCAGAAAGCACTCCCCTGCTTATTGGGAAAACCCAATCAGTCAACACTTTGTGGAGCCACCAGGTTATGTGAAACTATTGTTAGTTTCAAGTTACTTTCCTTTCTTTTTTTTTTTTTTAATTATTATACATATTTTTTATTTCAGCATATTATGGGGGTACGGATGTTTAGGTTACGTATGTTTCCCTTCCCTCCCTTCCCCCCCAACTTTCCTTTCAAGCTATAAGCTTACATGAAAGAAATAAATAAATGGGTGTCTTTATTCAACAAATATTTACTGAGCAGCTACTCTGTACCAGGCACTCTTCTAGGTGCTAGGGATGTAGCAGAGACAGGCAAAAGTCCCTGTTCAGAGGGAAAATAAACATGCGAAACATGTGATATGTTAGATGGAGCAATAAATGCCCTGGAGAAAAATGAAGCAGCAACAGTGAGAATTTGGGAGTGGGTGTGCTGCAACAATTTAAAATAGGTTGGTGGGGGAGATTTATTGAAAAGACATCTGAATGGAAACCTAAAGGAGGTGAGAAATTGAAGTAGGCAGCATGTGAGGGAAGCAAGCAGTAGGCAGAGGGAACAGGAAATGCAAAGGCCTGAAGGAGTCAGGCATGGCAGAGCAGAAAGAAAGGGGGGACTCTGTCAGAGAGGTAAGGCCAGGGCCTGACCCACATCTTGTAGCTCTTGTAAGACTTTGTGACGTAACTACTACAACATGCAAGTGTACAATTTATAATTTTTTCTTTAACAGATGAGGTCTCGATCTGTCACCCAGGCTGGAGTGCAATAACCTGATCAAGGCTCACTGCAGCCTCAAACTGCTCTGCTGAAGAGATCCTTCCATCTCAGCCTCGCAAGTAGCTGGGACTACAGGTATGCACTACCACGCTCGGCTAGTTTTTCTATTTTTTGTAGAGATGGGGTCTTGCTATGTTGTCCAGGCTTGTCTTGAACTCCTGGCCTCAAGTGATCCTCCTGCCTTGGCCTCCCAAAGTACTGGAATTACAGATGTGAGCCATTGTGCCCAGCCCAATTTATAATTTTATTCTACATTATATGGCAAAGAAAATTGACTGCTGCCAATATGGTTATTTCTGACTTCTAGTCCCCTGAACCGAATTCTATAGGTTGTAATACATTTTACTATACACGATCAGAAAAAGACTAAAAAGGCCTATTTAGCAACTCTAGTTCTGACAGTTCCCATGCCTGGGCTAGAACAGGGCACAGCAATGGCAGAACAGATGCCTTCCATTACTTTTCTTTGCAGTATTTTCTTTTCTCAGTTAGAGGAAAGTACAGGTATGAGCCCACTCAAGAGGGGCTCTAGGTAGTAGGGTTCTACTCTCCCCCAGGCAGGACTGCCTACAGCATCAAAGGGTACTATTACACAAACTTGGCTCAAATCCATGACTTCAGTTTCTGGCATAAATATGACCCCTTTAGTAGGAAAAAAAAATCAGACATCTGAGAGCTTGCATGGAGGCATTCTAGCAAAGGAAAAAGTACTACTTGCTACTTGGTGTTTGTGTGAAGTAGATTCTTATGAAGTGAAGATAACCATTCTAAGGGGTGGGGTGGGGTGGGGGAAAGGGGATGGAACATGAGCTGAGAGAACGAAGAGAACAAAAACAATACAACCAAAAGCTGCTTGCTGGCTCATATGGTATCTATACTGGAGTCCAGTTTGCTCATTCTGGTGTGGAACCCAGGGCCATGGCAAGCGAATGGGGTGCCTTTAGGGCATTTGCCTGCCTCAGCAGAACCAGGGACGTAAAGGGTTAAAGGTCGTGATACAGCCTGCAGGGTCAGGAGCCTGAACTCCCTCCATGAGGGGCCCTACCTAGAGGTGGCAGGCTCTCCACCTGTCTGTAGTATCGGGCACATGAGAATAGAGAGCCCTAGTATAGCTCTGCTTAATATTCACATATTAAGCTTCCAGATTAAATACACACACACATTCACACACACAATTTTTTCCTTTTCAAATCATGTACCACTTTCTATCAAATCTGAGAATGTCCCTAAGCACTAACGGGTATCCAACATTTAAGAAAAAGTTTGGCTCCCTCATTAGTTGCAATACCTTGAGCAAGTGCAAGCCTCTCAATTTCCTTACCTGTAAGACAAGGATAACAGGTTGGGACGCAGAGAAGGCCCCTGAAGAGCCTAGCATCATACCTGATGCAAAGGTTTTTAATGTTTTTTATTTTGGAGACAATCTCACCCTGTTGCCCGGGCTAGAGTGCCATGGCATCAGCCTAGCTCACAGCAACCTCAAACTCCTGGGCTCAAGCGATCCTCCAGCCTAGCCTCCTGACTAGCTGGGACAGGTGCTCACCACCAGGCCCAGCTAATTTTTTCTATTTTTCGTAGTGATGGGGGGGGGGTCTCGCTCGTGCTCAAGCTGGTCTCAAACTCCTGACCTCAAGCAATCCTCCCGCGTCGGTCTCCCAGAGTGCTAGGATTACAAGCCTGAGCCGCTGGAACCTGGCCCAAGTTCTGAATGTTCTACCTCTCCCTCCCCACCCTCACAAAAGATATTAAATTGCTGTCAAATGCTATCAGTCTGCTTTAAATCAGTGCTTGTCAAACTGTTACGTGTGGACCAATCACCTGGAAGAATCCTGTTAAATAAAGTGCAGATTCTGATTCAGCAGAGTTGGCGTGGGGATAGGAATTATGCATTCCCAACAAGCTCCCAGTTTATGCCTATACTGCTGACTGGGGATTATTCTTTGAGTGGCAGGAATCTGACACTACTGAGTTCCATTACTTAACACAACTACCACACAAAAAGCTCTTAAAACAGCTCCACAGACTATTTCTTTAAACAATTAACCCTTCCACTAGAGCTTCATGCAGTCACTGACCCCAAGTGTCCAGCACCAGAGAGGCCAGGCATAATGAATACATCCTTTGGTCTTGGACGGTTCACAGTACCCTCCTACAGGACCTTGCAATTGTCTTGCCACCTCTTTTGGCTTTTTGATCTTGCCTTGTGCCTCTGATGATAATTACCCTTTAATTAGCACCCACCACCATGTCATCTAAATAATTATAGTAAGTGCAGCCTGCACCTCTGCCAGTGATCTTCAAACAAAACAATAAAACGAGATCCTAAACCACCGATTTTCTCAAGAAAGACAAAAACTGACCCAAATAAAACAGTCATGTGAGTACTACCACAGTGGTGGAAGAGACAGACTTGTTATAACTTCCATTCGTTTAAGCTATGGAAGAAGTTGATTTGTTTTGAAACAAGAGGAAATACTGATACAGTATTTGGGAAAATGTAAATGTCAGAATATAAATTTTGGAAGCAGTCACGTAAAACAATTCAACCACGCTAAAATCCATCTTAATCTCTTGGGAAGGGCTGCAAGGTCTCTGGACTATTTTTTGTTTATTCGGAGGTTTCCGATTATATTCGAGGGAGTTTGGTAACTTCTGGGTGTATTCAAAAGAAATTATCCATTTGTGTGCTGTTTTACTTCAAGAGTTAAAAAAAAAAAAAAACCAAAACCCAACAAATTATCCATTTGTGGAAGAAGGGGCGAGCTTTTCACTGAAAGCAATTAGTAGTTTTCTAATTTCCCAGGTGGGTCTCCATTAACTGCCTAACAGCAGGACTGCCTGAGTCCGATAAATCATACACCTCTCTTAGGGGGATCTAGAATACTGTTTTCCCATTGAAGCCTTAAAAAAAAAACAACTTCCCAATTTTCTGAATTAGGTAATACACTGACATGTAAAAAAACCTCAAAAGGGTATGCAGGGAAAAAGAAATACTCTTGCCTTCCATCATCCGCCAGCTCCCTGTCCTCCCCAAAGGCAATCACCGGTTCATTTATTTAAACTTTTTATTATGGAAAATTTCAGATATACAAGTAGAGAGACTGATAGGATTAGCGCAAGTGTTCGCATCACGCTTCGTCAACAATGAAAAACATTCCTCCAGCTTTATTCTCCACTGCCCCCCCACTCCCCAGTTTTCCTAGGCGTATTCTAAAGTAAATTCCAGACACCAGATCATTTTATGTCAAAACTTTAGCATGGTTTTTAATGATCACATTACCGTTATCACACCTAACAAGGTTAATGATAAATCCTTAACACCATCCAATATTCTCGGGGTCACTTTTAACGGGTGAGGGGCAGACGGAAGAACTCCAGGGTGAGGACCGAAGGGTTGGGGGTGGGGCGCAAAAAACGCCGGGGCAGACACCAATCGCGGCCGCGGCGGTCGGGTGTTCGGCGTCCCGCGCCTCTGCGTTCCTGCCGTTGTTATCTGCTCCAGGCCAGGACCGGTCATGCCGGGTCGAGGGAGGCCCTGAGCCGCAAGCTCCCCGCCTTCCTGCTCCCGGGCTGCGGCCCCTGCAGGCCCCGCGCAGCTGCACAACCCAGGGTCCCCAGACACCGGCGGGTCCCTGGAGGGGAAACGATTGATACAGCTGCCTGCACTGCGCCCACCGCCCACCCTCGCGGCACCTGCGTCTCCCAGCGGAGCCGGGAGCTGGACGCGGCTCCCGAGCCTAGGCGGGCGAGGCCCGAGGCCACCTCGCCGCCCGCCGCCCTGTCCCCCTCCAGGTTCTCAGCACCACGACCTCGAGGACCGGGACTACAACTCCCGTCGGGCCCCGCGGCTGGGCCAATGGCGGGCGCCGGAGCATGCGGAGCGCGGCGCCTGCGCGGCGGTTTGAGTAAGCGGCCGCGCGATTGGCTGCGGGGTCGGGCGGCCGCGCGGGGCCTGTGGGAAGCGGAGTGACGGAGCGAGCGGCTGTTGGAGGAAGGAGGTGGGGGCCGGGAGCGCAAATGGCGTTGAGATGGTTCAGGGCCCTGTTCAAACTCCAGCGCTGACCATTCACTGGCGGAAGCGGCGGCGTAGGAGGCGGTGGCGGCCCAGTGGGGGCACGTAGCGGGCTCCGGCACCAGCTCCGGCGGCGGCGGCGGCCAGGGAGGGCTAGGCCCGGGCCCGGCCGGCGGCGCTCGAGGCGGGGAGGGAAGTTGCGGGGCCGCCGCTCCTCCCCCCCTCCAGCGGGCTTCCTATTTACCGAAAGCGGAGCCCCTTGCCTCCCTTGGCGCTCCAGCCGGTCCTGCTCTCCGGCGCGGGGCTCCCGCGTCCGCCCGTGGGCCGTTGGGAGCGGGAGAGGCGGAGGCGGCCCGTGGCCAAAGCACCCGCCAGGCGCCGAGGGTAAGTGAGGTGTCGGGCGGCTGCCTAGGCCGGGTGCGAGCCAAGGAGGGTAGGGGAGCCAGGGAGCTGGAGGGGGCGATGGAAGTCTCACTGCCTTGCCCACCCGGCCTCTGAGGAAGTTGGGCAGGGGGACGAACTGAAGAACTCTTTTTTCCTCTTGTATTTTCCTTTTTTTGAGTTCTTTTTCGGGCGGCTACTGATTGACTTCCCTCCCCAAACCCAGTCAAGTGTGTTGATTTCAGCCCAGAGTTCTTTCCCGTGGTTTCCTCCGCCCCTGGCCGCCACCGGGGCCTTGCAGTGCCCTAGGGATTCGGTGGCAGAGGCTTCCGGGGCGTCGAAAGCAATATCCCTTTCTTGGGCGGTGGGGGTAGGGAGGAGAAAAGTTGCGTGAGCTTCCAGCCCGAGGGGCCCTCCTCTTCCACTGCCTCCTGGCTCACCGGCCGCCCCCAGATGAGGATTTCTGGGTGGTTAAATTTCGCCCTTAAAGCCCCTGGAAACTGGGGAGACGCTAGCTTTGGGTGGAAGTTAAGTGCGAAGGCTTTTTTTGTCTGTAATAACCCCAGCTCACTTTCCTCAAAATTCGACCTGACTTTGGGCTGAGGCAGAGGCGTAACGACTGAAAAGATCTAGTCGTGAATCATTCTTTCCTTTTTAGTTAGGACGGTTTTGGGAGTTCGAAGCCTGATCAGGCAAGATAGCTTGTGTACTTAAAATATAATGTCAAATATGTCTGCACACTTGTTTTCGAGTTTATTAGTACTTTACGCTTAGATAATGCCATTTTAAAAGTCTGCTGACTTTTTAAAAAAGACATTGTGGGAAACGATAAAGACAATCAAAAGTAGGGAATATTATATAATGAATTCCCATGTACCCATCGTTTGGATTCAGCAGTTATTAACTCCTAACCAAGCTTATTTCATCTATACACTTCCCATTCCTTGATGTTGGAAAATTGCTGACGTTATTTCATCGATATTTCAGTATATATTTGTAAAAGGCATGGACTCTTTTTTGATAAACAAATTTTCTTACCAGACTTAAAATAATTAACTCCTTAGTATCAGATATTCATCTGCAGACTTTAAACTTTTAACAGTGAATGCTTTATGATTCTAGGACCATTTTTCCGAGTTTTTCTGACGTTCGCTTAAAGGAGCTCAAGTCTAGATTTTTGGTTTGGCCTTTAGTCAGCATTTTTAGATGATTACCACGTAAATGTATCCAAAATAGTCCAGCTTTGTTGGTGTATATGTATATATAGGTCTGCAGATCTCTACTTTACATCCTTGAAGGAATGAAGAGAATGAATTTATTTTGTTGTCCTGGTAGCTGCCTAGTGTAGTTTTGTTTAGGTTATACTTAACAAGAAAGACAATAAAATGCGTTAGATCTACAGTAGAAAGGGAGATAAATCTCCCTCAGGAAAACTATTTTCTGGTAGCACAGATGTGTATGATGACTGTATTTTTTTGTCAAATTAGAATTGGCTTCTTACTGAACATGGGGCAGGGGGAATTCTCCACGGAGTATACATAAAACTAATTTGGACAATGATTCATTGTAAGTTGTAAGAATTTAAGTTAATAAAGGGAAAACATTAAAAGTATAGATGAAAACATATTCAAAAGTATAGGTCAAGTATTACTTCAATTGTTGTAAGTTTCAAAATAATGAAGTTTTTCAAGCCACTAGACGATTGTTCATTTTTTTTAGTTGTATTTGATGTATTGATATTTAAACTGTCAGTCAGAGTGTAAGAAATGGATAAGGATTGATAGTGTTCAGAAAGTACTGTTTAACTTGTTTTTAAAAATGTTTAACTCTTGATTTACTGCCCTGAAAAATTTTTTGTCTTACCTGATTATTATGTGGTAATAATCAGATAAGTCAGATGAATTGATTGGTCATTTATAAATTGGAGAGGAAAATAAAGGTTGCTTGCTTCTATTCCTGTAGTAATCCATGGAACTGGGTGATATGCTGGAGTTCACCAGCTCCAGAAAATGTAACTCAGCAAATGAGCACAGCACTATAGGGACAAGGAAGGGAGAATAAGGATGGTTTCTTGCGCTTGGGAAATGACCACCTAAGGAATATTTTTTAAATCACAGTCCAGATTATATTACACCAAGAATCAGAATCTTCAAGGTTGGGTTAAAAGCTGTAAGTTGTACTACATAAGAAAATAGCACCATTTTTCTGACCTTTTTTCTCATAAGTGCTGTGAAATTTCAAAGAGCTAAATTTAGTCAACTATTTGACATTCCTGCGATCCTGAAAAAAATTAACATTTGGTGCTTAAAATTTTAAATTAGGGGTAATTACCCAATTCAGATTATTTTTTTAAGGTGAAAATGTTTATTAGAATAGTTGATTCGTTTGGAACTTCAAAAACATGTTTCATTATAAGTTCATTTTATGGATGTTGTATTATAAATTGGTTTGTCGTTTTTTTACTTTGTAAGGAGTGTATGAATATGTACTCACTGTAAAAAAAAAAGTTGACATGTGGAAGCATATAGAGTAGAAAATGAGCCTCTTTATCCCCTTCCTCATACTTATTTAATCATTTTTAAAGGTTTGAATAGTGAATGTCAAAAAGTCATATAGGGGAGAATCCCTGGTTTCTTATTTTTATATGTAGTGTTTAACACTTGTTAAGTATTTATGATTATATATTTCCTTAAATTTTTTTTCACAGAGAATATGAAACAGGTGTCAAAATGACATCCAGATTTGGGAAAACATACAGTAGGAAAGGAGGAAATGGCAGTTCAAAATTTGATGAAGTCTTTTCCAACAAACGGACAACCCTTAGCACAAAATGGGGAGAGACCACATTTATGGCTAAATTAGGGCAGAAGCGACCCAATTTCAAACCAGATATCCAAGAAATTCCGAAAAAACCTAAAGTGGAAGAAGAAAATACTGGAGATCCTTTTGGATTTGATAGTGATGATGAGTCCCTACCAGTTTCTTCAAAGAATTTAGCCCAGGTTAAGGGTTCCTCTTATTCAGAATCTAGTGAAGCTGCTCAGCTGGAAGAAGTCACTTCAGTACTTGAAGCTAATAGCAAAAGCAGTCATGTGGTGGGTGAAGACAGTGTTGTATCTGATAAATGCTTACCTTTGGAGGATACTTTGCTTGGGAAAGAAAAGAGCACAAACCGAATCTTAGAAGATGATGCAAGCATAAGTAGCTGTGCTAAATTAATGACTTCAGGTAAGTTTTGATTTTCTTTATTCTGAGCCAAGAAGGCTTTGTACAAGCAATTTATTTAAATGATTTAAATTCTAAAATATATATAACTTGTGTTTTCTTTCTGCATTTATGGTTGAGGACTATTGATAGTTTTGTAAAAGAGATTGAAGAATTTTAAAGAAACCGGCGGACGCGGTGGCGGGGTGGCTCACAGCTGTAATCCTAGCACTCTGGGAGGCCGAGGCGGGCGGATTGTTTGAGCTCAGGAGTTCGAAACCAGCCTGAGCAAGAGCGAGACCTCGTCTCTACTAAAAATAGAAAGAAATTAATCAGACAACTAAAAATATATAGAAAATATTAGCCGGGCATGGTGGCGCATGCCTGTAATCCCAGCTACTCGGGAGGCTGAGGCAGAAGGATCACTTGAGCCCAGGAGTTTGAGGTTGCTGTGAGCTAGGCTGACGCCAGGGCACTCACTCTAGCCCGGGGAAAAGAGTGAGACTCTGTCTCAAAAAAAAAAAAAAAAAAAAAAGAATTTTAAAGAAACCAATTGGGTGTCGAAATTTAAACAACTTGGATATTAATATTTCTAGACTATTACCCAGGGTACATTTTGGGAACAGTCTTTTATAAATCCCTAACCTCAATTCCAATAACAAACATCTCTTTTTGTTGTGTTGGAATTACACAGTATCTCATTTCTATTACTGTTGAGATTTGGATGATTACTGATAATGAAAATGAGATGAGCGTTTACAGTGAGGATTAGGTAGGAATGTTAGAACTTTTCTCCAAAACGAGTTCAGAAAGATTAAGGAAGTATTGAGTGGAGACAGTAAAGAATTGAACTTACTGCAAATTGAGATTAGTTTGAAGTCTGGGGCTAATAGCAACTTGTATTGATAGATTTTAATCCACAAAACTTGTATGTAAATTTGTAAATATGAGGTCTAGTATTCTTGTCTAAAACAATATTTTGTTAGTTAATACCCCCCACTCACTTCTGTAAGGGGTTTGATAAATGATAATGGTGAAGGTGCAATTAACTAAAAGACTGAAGAGCTAAGATTGAAGGTGGCAGGGTAGAGGTGGGGCAGGAGCCACCCAGCAGCAGTAGGATTAGGATGGCACTATGAATATAATGAAAATAAACGTTGGTTCTTGACGACTTGGCAAAGTTTAGCAATAATGAAAGGTTATATAGATCTCATGTTTTGAAAGGAAGCAAAGTGAAAACTTTCCTAGCACTTAAGAGGAATTGGAGGCTTAATATGAGGCACATCAAATAGTACAATGGGCTGTGCCTTGCATAGTTTTACTAAAAATGCTGAGCATTTTTTACTTTTTTCTCACCCTTGGATGAGAGGATGAGCCAGCTGTTATTGTCATTCCCTTGATCCTCTGGGTTAATTCTAATTTGGCTGTCCTTACTGCTTTGCCCACATTTCTCCTAAAACATTGTTTATGAGTTAAGGCTAGTTTAAATTTTCGTTAAAAAGAACAACATAAAACTGTTGCCAGGTCAGCTCCTAAAAATGTATTATAATCATAGGACTTTTGAGTTAAAATCAATTTTAACTTAGTTCTCCTCATTTTATAGATGAGGCTCACAGAGGTTAAGTGTCCAAGGTCAGCTAGTGGCAAAATTGGAACAAGATTCATTTGTTGATTTTCAGTGTTATTGAGCACCTACTGTTTGTCAGACCACTGTGTGAGACTGGGAATGCAGTTCCACTTGAGTTATCTAGTGTTTTTACTGCCATTTCTTGTTTCCAGGCAGTTAATCTACAATGTGGGGCAAGTAGGCTGGAGGAAGGTGAAGCTGGGCAGGTGGTGGAGGTGCTCAAGGAAGGCTGACACTGGCTTCACTATGTGTTGTCTTTTGGGGAATCGGGTGTCATTGGCAGGCAGAGGACCTGGTGGCAGAGGGTATTAATAAGAATGAATGTTTAGGTAAGGGGGAATAGGAATGTGGAAGTTAAATATAGGCAGCAATTGCTCATGTAGCTTTGCTGATGATATTTCTCTATATATGTCCAAACTGCTGTTGGAAGTTGGTTGGTGGGGACCTGGAAAAACAGTTTTTTGGTAGAATGAGATAATAGCGTCCCAGTCTAATGTAGCCAGATTGTAGTTCTGGTACTGATACTGTGAATCCAAACTCCATTATCATGGGTTTGTGAGGAGAAAATGGATACTAAAACAGATAAATAGGTGATTCCCTCTTCCTCCTTCACAGAAGGGACCCATAGTGAGAAGGGAGTGGTGTAGCACTGTGAATATTTCTTTTTTTCCTCCTCTTCCTTGGCCACCCAGAGCTGCAACAACCCTGACAGGGCAGTTCCCTGTAGGATAAGAAGCAAACTTTGAGGAAGTGCATGTAATTTTGCTTTTAATTTTTATTTATTTATTTGTACTCTTGTTAGTGGTAGAAGTGTATTTAATTTTCATAGCAGTCTTATCCTTTCCCTAATGTGTGCAAATTAGTTATTCTTATGAACCATTTATTAATTTGTATGTTGGTTATATTTGTGGGAATGCTTTTGTATTTTATGATTTTTTTTTTTTTTTTAAAGACTCCCTCCTTTACATTTTGGACATTTCCCTTGTGTCTAGACTCTTTTCTTACATTATGTCTGTCAGATTGTGATTGCCTTTTCTCTCTTGGAAAGCCTTGTAGTTTTAGTTGAAATTTAGAAACCCAAACCTAAGTTTTTGATAAAACAGGTCTATAAATCTTAAGTGGTTCCTAACTTTTTTCTTTAGGGGCCTTTCTGAGAATGATAAAGTTTTGAATTTTTTTCTCCAAATACAAGCACTTGTGTACTTACTTGGGTGTCAGAAACCTTAGCAGTCTTTTGCAAGTCATGTTCAGGCATTTTATTTAAGAACCTGTTAGCAATTTTATCAATAATTTGTTTAAAGTGCACGGGTTAAGTTCTGTTGTATCCTTCCAATAGAATATCCCTGTTCTTTCATACCATTTTTTGCCGTAGAATTATATCACATCAGTGAAAAGGGCTTATCCAAGCTCAGAATCACCATATCATTTGTCCTGGCATTATGTTTTTAAGTGCATCTCTTTCTCTGTAGGGAAATATATGGTAAATCCTTTGACACTATTAAAATTCTTTCTCTTTAGTACTTTTGAAAAAAATTGTGGCTCATTTGAAGAGGAAACTAGGGATGAGGTCATGATAAAAGTAATGGTTGCCATTTTCCAAACAGATGCTTTTGATGGATAAGGGAACCAGAAGCAAGATTATAGACTGACTGAATACTATAGGGAAGGGTTGAGTTGCAGAAATGTTCTAATCCTTAATTTAAACAATAACAAGAAAACTTTTATGATGAAATTTTTCAGACATACAAAAATAAAATAGTATAAGAACCTCATGTACTCAACAGTTGTTAGTATATGGCAAATCTTGTTTCGTCGGTTTCACACTCTCTCCACCTCCCATCCTTTACCCCCAGATTGTTTTAAAGCAAATTCAGGATTTTTATTTTCATCTGCAAACACTTCCCTATTTAATCTATAAATTTAAAAACAAAAGATTCCGATTGCAGTTGCTATTAAAGCCATTGAGTTCTTGGCCAGATGTGCCACTTAAGAATGACTGTTAGCTGGAGCTAAAAGTTCACCCTTCTAAGAGATCTTTTATTCTTTAAAGTTTGGAATCCAGGGCAGTGTGTATTAGATGTAAAAGAAGGCTTCTCTTGCCCTTTATGTGAGGCTACTTCCATTTTCTGTCTTTTTGCTGTCTGCTACGGGTTTTTAATCTGGACTAAAGTGTGCAAAGACTTATATTTCTGCTTGTTACACTTTGCCAGCCAGCTGGGATTCAGTCTATGTACCCTGCCAAATATTGAAATAACTACAGCATAGGCTCTTAATTTGCGTGACTAGTTTTGTAGCCAATAAATTTTTTTCATTTGCTTAAAGCTATAATGAGTATTTATGTAAGTTAGAGGGATGGTTTTGTCAGGAAATTATGAACTTTGATTTAGAACTGAAGGTGATGTTTAGAAAGGGAAATAAATGAATTGTTCTGTTACTGAAAGCTTAAAGTAGGCCAAGAACTTGTGACCTGAGATGAGATTGTCATCTACTTGTTGGATAAAGTACAGGTGATTAAGGAGGATTATTTTTAAAGATGCTGAAAGGATAATATCAGCAAGAGTTACTTGCCTTTATTTGTTGAATATATTTGTTGTATAGAATATATTTAAGTTATACCTCAAATCAGCTGCTTTTTAAGAGAAGTGGATAAGAGACTTAAAAATTTAAGTTCCTACTTTTACATACCAGTTGATCCTTAATCACAACCCAGTAAAGCAAGCTTTATTCCCATTATATAGAGGGTAAAGCACAGTTCAGAGGTTGAATAACTTGAACTATTAAGTGAAAGCTCTGTGAAACATCCAAAGTGTTCTTTTTCGTACAGTGCTGCTGTATGCTGATATGAATGAGATTAATTTTGTCATATTCAAAGCTATATATTTAAAAGAGACTGTCCACATAAGATCAGTTTTCTCTTGATGTTGGAAATAAGTTATTTTTACAAGGGATAAATTATGGATTCCTTCTTGTCTCTAAGTTATTTTCTTTTTAATAAGAATGATGGCCAAACTATTCTTAATATTACTGAATAAAGCTGACTTTAATTTTACAGATAATATCTTCCACTTTTTAATTTTTTTGTGTGTGTATACAAATGGAAATTAAACAATATGCATATTCTGAAAGGGGCACTATAATTTTAAATAAATTCATTTTGTTTTAAAGCAGAAATTCTACTTATAAAAGATTTTCTGAGTAAAAGGATGATCATTCTCAAGGTTTGAGCATTAATAAAAGCATGGGAGACCACCAACAGCTTTCTCCTCAGATCCAGGTTGAATACCAGCCATGGGGTAATATATGAAAACTGTAAATATAGTCGTTGCTCTCTAGGAATAGAGAGCTGTTGACTTCTATTGGTCATGATGAATAACCAGCTTTAAACACAATGACAATA